AAGAGAGAGAGATAGAAAGATAGAAACAGAAAGAGTGCGATAAGAAAGAAAGAAAGAAAGAAAGAAAGAAAGAAAGAAAGAAAGAAAGAAAGATGTACTAAGATATAAATAGAAAGAATGAAGTAGAATTAGAGAAATAGAAAGAGAAGGATATAGAATGGGAGAATTAGAAAGAAAGAAAGAAAGAAAGAAAGAAAAAGAAAGAAAGAAATAGAGAGATAAGCGTAGAGAAAAATAGAAAGATGGATAGAAAGGGGGAAACAGAAATATAGATATAAAAAGGGAAAAAGAGAGAGATGCTAAGATTACTATGGACCTAACATGTGAGAGACGAGGAATTTTTAAGGAAAATAGAAATACAATGGTCGCTTCTCCTTGGAATTAGAAATAGATAATTCCTGAGACACATAATGGGAAAAAGAAGGCTTAGAAAGTTTGACACTCACGTGGCATATTGAAGACAAGAGAGACAGAGGGGAAAGCGACTAAACTATCTAACGGGCTTGTGTCAATGGATTGTAGAACAGGGAATGAGAGAGACACTAAGGGGAACAACATTGCCAAAAGCTACAAAGGATAGGAAGTAGAGAAGGGCCGTGATTGGATTTGTTTTTCTCTATCGCCATGTGGCGCATCCAGGCTTACGGCCACATTACGTCAAAACACCGGTTCCCGTGCAATCACCGAATCACCTAGATGGGTGCCCGTTTGGGAATGACAGATGCTGTAAGCATGGATGTGTGGGGGGGGGTAATGGGGATGTGTGGGGGGGTAATGGATAGCGCCTCGGATTGAGGAATCGGAGAGCAGAGTTCGAATTCCAATCGGATCCATTACATTCATTTACGTGCTAACACCCTTGGGAAAGGTATGAATCCTCTTCTTCCTCCTCCACCCAGCCTTGGGTGGCAACCAGTCTAGGAGAAACAAACACTGAATTCAAAACTGGTGTAGTACATACTATACAGCTGAAGGATCTTTCGCACTGGTTCGATGGTCGGCATGGATGGATAGATGGTTGGAATGGATAATGACTCGGAGTTTTTAATAGGAGAGCTGAGTTTCGATTCACGTTCGGTTTGTTATGTTCACTTATGCACAAATGGGAACGGCATGAATCCACGTCTTCTCCCCGACGTCTTACTTAGTTTGACTTGTATCACTAAACCATCTCTATCTATAAAAGGCAGGATGTGTGTGTGTGTGTGTGTGTGTGTGTGTGTGTGTGTGTGTGTGTGTGTGTGTGTGTGTGTGTGTGTGTGTGTGTGTGTGTGTGTAACGAATGCACGGCCGCAATTTTCGACGGATTTGCACCAAAATTTACATGCATATGCTCCGAGTTAGCAGGAAGGCCAAGACCGACTTTGCATTTCCCAACTCCCATCGATAGTGGAAATCGATTTTTTCATGCTTCTACGGCACTCTTTCATGTAGTTTGCGACCATTTTCTACTGGTCAGAGTGAGAGCCAATAGTTGGCTTCCACGATTAGGCAGGAAGATTCTATTGGCCAGCGGAGAGCCAACAGCTGACTGACACGAATGTTAACTAGCATGCTAGCATGCAAAAAAAAATCGATAGCTGCATTCGTCACAAGTGGGAAAAATTTAAATCTGCATGGCACTTTAATCCAATTGGCTCATTCGCTTGCTTAAATTCAACGTTGATTCTGATTCCGCAGAACTGGGTGGGGGTGTGAAAAAGTATTTGTTGTTAACATTCTTTTTTTTTTCATTCGGTTTTTCCAGTTACGAGTCCTTTTTTAAAGCTGATCGTTTTGTGTTCATTTTGTTTAGTTCTTTTTTGTAACAGATTTAATGTTTAGTATAGAGCTTAGAAAAAATTCGCACTGTGAGATAGGATAAGGCAAGAAGTAAGACATGTAGCAACATCAGCACGGAAAAAGGGCACTCCTTTAAAGGCAAGGAAGGGCAAAAATATTTTAAGTCAAGTGATGGCGATTGCTGTATGAGTCGTATGACTTTTTAATCAAGCACGGGCAGCGCCGGGCCATGCTGCTAGTCATTATCTAAAAAATTCTTGCAATCCAAATATATTTCCTGGCTTAATTTGGTAAGCCATAAAAACGAATCAATGTATTATGCAGCTTATCCATTCACAAAAATCTATAAGAAAGTTACTGTTTCCCAGTGCTTTTAATCCTTTCAGTGTCTTGTGAGTGTTAAATTCTCTACGCTCTCTTTCCTCATTACGGGACCTAAAAATATCTACTGTCTCTTTCTGATTCTAAGTATAAGTGTCAATTTTGTTTTCATTTTCTTTAAAACTTCGTTGTTGCTCACATGTTCAGTCCATGGCATTCTCAGCTTCCTTCTGTAGAACCAGATCTCTGTTGCCTCAAGTCTCATCTTCCTTTGTGAGGAAATTGTTCACCATTCACTGCCACATAGGAGAAGTGATATTACGTAACAGTTCAGTACTTTTTCTTTGGTAAATATTATTAAATTTATTAACATATTCCCTGCTACCTTATATATTTG